CTGGTCTAGTCTTCTGCCAGACTACGAAGATGAAGAATTTTTTCAGCATGACGGTATTTTTACTTCGGGCCTTCTCATCTCCCAACCAAAATTCCGCATGACTTACAAAGACCGAAAAAGTAATCCTAAACCAGCCACTCAAAAATCACCTAAACCCCTCAACATTTCGTTCTCCAACATCCGTGGCATTAGAATAAACTTCTGCAGTATGGAATCTTTCCTTACTGCAAACTGCCCGGATATACTGGCTCTCTGTGAGACCAACCTTGTCTTGTCTATTCCCTCCTCTGATCTCTCGATCCCAGTCTACCTTCCTCTCTTCAGAAAAGACTCTCTAGACCACATGCACGGCCTTGGTGTCTACGTCGAGGACCATCTCCCTCTGGCCAGAGAGTTTTCTCTCGAATCGCCAGACCAGTTGTACACGTGTCTCCGACTATCTCTTTTCAATGCGGTAAGCTATCTCTTCTTCCTTTACCGCTCTCCATCCTCTCAAGACTGTGGGATACACGATAGCATTTCTGACAGCATAGACAAGGCTCACTCCCTCCATCCGTTTGCTCACATATTTGTGTTTGGCGACTTTAACGCCCATCATACGAAGTGGCTTAACAATGCTACTACTGACCACGCAGGCATTCAAACGCTCAATTTTTCAGTCTCTCAATCCCTCACGCAGATAGTTAACTTCCCCACTCGTTTTGCCTTCAACCGGGAAGGTAAAGCCTCTCTTCTCGATCTGTGTTTTACCTCCATCCCCGAGTCCTGTAGCGCCACGCAACTCTGCCCTCTTGGTAACTCTGAACATGCGGTAGTATCTGTTAACATCTCCTTCAACCCCACCCCCTGCAAAGAACCTCCTACCACTAGAACTTCGTTCTACTATCAACGAGCTGACTGGGACGCGTTCCGTGATTTCCTCCGCGATGTCCCCTGGGATGTTGTCTTTACGCTCCCCTCCCAAGAATGGGCTTCTGAGGTCTCATCCTGGGTTAAAGCTGGAATCGACGCTTTCACCCCCTCAACGAAATATAGGCTCAAGTCGCGCTCCTCCCCCTGGTTCTCCTTTGCTTCCTCAGCCGCCATCGCCCATAGGAACCACTTCTTTCACCTATTTCGTAGCGACATGTCGGACTGCAATAGACGTCTCTTTGCCTCCGCCCGTAACGAGTGTAAGCATATCCTCAACGATGCTAAGTCACTATTTGCTGCTCGGATGAAGGAGCGTATTGCATCTCGCAAATTTGGCTCCAAAGATTATTGGCGTCTCTGCAAGAGCGTATTGAACAATTGAAAACCCTCTATACCTCCTTTATTCAACCAGTTCGAAGTCCTGACCTCTTCTGCCAACAAGGCTGAATGCTTTGCTCGGAAATTTTCATTCAACTCAACGCTCGACTCCACCGGTGTACCCATAACCGACTTCCCTCTTAGAACTGAGGCCCTATTGAGTGGGTTACACAGAACCCCGTCTTTGGTATTGGGCATTATCTCCAATTTAGACTCCAACAAGGCTAGTGATGGAGATGGGATACCAGCCATTGTCTTGTAGAAATGCGTGCCTGAACTGGCGCCCAACCTCTCTAAACTATATAACTACTGTCTCAAGGAATGTTGTTTTCCTGACTGCTGGAAGTCCTCTTCGATTGTTCCTGTCTTCAAGAACTCTGGCGACCCCTCTGACCCTTCTAACTAATGCCCTATCAGTCTTCTACCCCTCTTCGGCAAAGTCTTCGAAGCCCTAATCAATACCAAAGTGGTCAACCACCTCACATCCCATGATCTGCTCTCAGACAAGCAATATGGCTTCCGTTTTGCCCGATCTACATCTGATGTGCTTACGGCCACCACTGAAACTGTCTACCAAGCTCTTCAAAATAACGGGAAAGCTCGTGCCGTGGCCCTAGACATCTCCAAAGCGTTTGATAGGGTTTGGCATGCCGGCCTTCTTCCAGGGTTATGGCATTACGGGTCGATTGTTTAACCTAATACAATAATTCCTGTCAAACCGCGAATGGAAGGTCGTTCTCAATGGATTCTCCTCCAGTTCCTATCCCACGAACGCAGGTGTTCCTCAAGACTCCATCCTAGGCCCCACTCTATTCCTTATCTACATAAATGACCTTCCTGACGCCATAAATTCCCAAGTTGGCATCTACGCGGATGACACCACAATTTATTCCTGCCTCAAAAACAAATCTAGTGTCACTGACAAAACTAATCTGGCCATGCGTCTCGAAAAGGACCTCCAATCGGTTGTGAACTGGGGCAGGAATTGGCTGGTCAACTTTAATGCTTCAAAAACAAAACTGCTCTCTATTAATCACCACAGAGATCCTTCTCTGCTCTCCATTAGAATGTCTCACGCTCAACTTCTCGAGAGCACCTCTCTGCGGCTGCTCGGTCTCACGTTGACTGCTGACCTGAGATGGAACAAATACATTGAGTCAATTGCTTCGTCCACCGCAAGGAAAGTTGGTTCACTGTGCCACGCCAGGGAATTTTTCTCCCCGGAAATCGATCCTCCAGATCGACAAATCAACAATTCGTCCGTGCATGGAGTATTGCTGCCATATATAGTTTGGAGCCCCTTCTGTTTGCTTCGGGGTTCTTGATAGGCTCCAGAGGTCGATATGCAATATAATTGGCCCTGCTCTGGCATCTCGTCTACAGTCACTTTCTTACACACCCGCCGTCGCCTCTCTCTGTCTGTTTTACAAATACTTACATGGTAATTGCTCCGTGGATCTGCATTCGCTGGTTCCCAGATTTCATGAGTTCAAGCGCCCTACGAGGCTGGCATCCCACTCTCAGCCTTTCACTGTCGAAACTCCTAAATGTAGCCGTCTCTTCTACTCCAATAGCTGCACGTCTCGCACCTCTCGGCTGTGGAACTCCCTTTCCTATTCCAGTTTCCCTGAGAGTTAAAATCTCCAGCTATTTAAATGTAATGTCAATCGACATCTCCATTTGCCTTGATCTATCCCCTACCCTTCTACTCATCCTTTCTTCTATCACTCCTATCTGATCTTTCTTCAAATTTTCTGTAACCCCTTGCGTCCTAGTGGCTTCTCGCCTTGCTTGGGGTGAAACGCTTAAAAAAAATACATACATATATATATATATATATATATATATATATGTCCCTTTGGCTAAAATATATCTGAAAATGACAACGAATACATACTTTCGCGAAGGTGAAAGAAAATGGCTGCCATGAAACGAAGAAAACTGTGGACAACTTAGCGTACAAGAGGTCAATGGAAAATCAACATGATTATAAAATGTTATCGTCTCTTCTTAATGGTGATAAAGTATCGATCGAAATTTGCCCCCACCGGTTGTAATTTTGAGTCTTCTCAATATATCCGAAATCGTTTTAAAATTATATTTGCTTCTAACTTCAGAAAATAAATAGGAAATATATCTGATACAGGGGAAAGTAAACATAATTTTATTAGGCAAATAATTTCAGTGAGCAAACAGCAATAAGCGAATATATGTTTGTCTATCTGTCTGTCTATTTGTTTGTCTGTCTGTGTATGTGTGTGTTTGTGTGTGTGTGTCTGTTTATGCTTTTGACTTGCATATTTCTTATGTGTATTTAGTCAGAATTCGTGAAAACTTTTGTTAAATTCAACCGACATAGATTGTTTCATTTTATTTTATCGTGTTTTTTGATATTTTATTTTATTTTTCCATTATTTTTTTTTTTTTTGAGGTTGGTAACTTTATTTGTTTTGTTTAAAGTATTCGCCCTGTCTAAAGTATATTACATTATCTACATTGTCTACGGTGCAAACGTTTGCATTTTATATTGTGGTGTTTTACAAGGTGTTCGCTTTTAGGTTTTGATTTTTAAATAACCTAGTAAAAGTTTGTTATCGTGTCTCCTTTCGGACCTTTTTTTTCTTATTTTTGATGTTTTTATTTCAACGTTTCACCTGTTGTACCCCTGGCATTTCTCGGGTATATATCAATCTGGGTAACCTACAGGCAATTCCAAACTGAACCCTTTGTGTAGTCTCCAGGGATAGTCTGTTCTCGTTCCATTGCTCATATCTCGGGATAACTCTCGTCCAGTTCTTATTCTTATTCAGTACTGAGCAATTTCTTGAGATTTAGTTGCCAGATAATTCGCGCGCCTTCTGAAGATTGAGCGCGCCTGAAATGCGCCTTGTGTGGTGCGTGATCAACTTCTAGTTGTTGTTGAACAAATTGATACGTAGAATCTAATGAAATGTGAAGATTAATGGATTTTTCTGCCGAATACCGTACTTCTATGAAGAGACGTGCATGCCTTTTTGCTTCATTGGCAGCAAAGTCGAACTGGTTCCCCATATTTTTCTATAAAAGATATATTAAAAGAATGAAATTATTATAACGTTCCCTATAAAAGAAGAGCTTGTAAGACCTGCAGAAATTTCTTTGGTGAGTTAGTAGTGGCCAAGATTTCTAGAGGAACGATAAGAAAGAATTTCAGAATCGCCAAAGATGAGATATAGCTCTGAATTGCCGTGTGTTGTCAAGGCGAAATCGCTCTATTGATGAATGGATTCTAGTTTATTTTGTTTTTACTTCTACTTTGCGTAAAATCATTCTTACATTTGATTCTTTTTTTCTTTTTTTTTATTTACCTCTTTGTTTAGTTATTATATTGGTTCTTCTTCTTCTTCTTCTTCTTCTTATTATTATTATTATTATTATTATTATTATTATTATTATTATTATGTAGGCTACGGGAAAGATTTAAGAAAATTAGGACCAGAAAGAAAGAATTTAAATTTCTAGGACATATAAGACATTTTGCGGCCTAAAGTTTAAAAAAATGAAATATAAATAAAGAAAGAAGACATAATAAATGAAGAAGAAATGACATATAGAAATAGAGAAAAAATAGTCCCCACTTACGAATACACAAATAAAGAATGAAATAGAACTTAGAAGTGATGAATGAAGAAGAAGAAGAAACAAGGCATTAGAAAAATATAGAAAGGAAATTAACAATGAAAAGAAAAGAAAAACAGAATAAATGAAACAAATGAAGAAAGAAAGAAAGAAAGAAAGAAAGAAAGAAAGAAAGCAGTATTTCTGGCGAATGAATTTCTGAAAGAGAAAAAAAGAAAGCAAAAGTCAGAAGAAATAAATAAAACAAGAGAAAGAACGTAAAAGTAATAAATGAAAACGAGATAAATGAAGTTTAAATGACATAAAGACGAAAAGAAATAAAGAAAGAAAAAAGAAAGCAATAAAAATGAATGAAAGATAAACTGACATAAAGAAAATTGAAAAGAAAGATGAAAAAACGAAAAGATAGAATCAAAATCCAAAATGGAGAAAAAAAATAAGAAAGCAATAAAAATGAATAAAAGATAAACTGACATAAAGGCGAAAAGAAAGAACAGAAGACGAAAAGAAAGAACGAATGACCAAAAGAAAGAAAGAAAGAAAGAAAGAAAGAAAGAAAGAAAATGATGAAAATGAATGAAGATGAAATGGCATAAATAAAGACGAAAAAAAAAACGAACGAAAAATAAAATAAATAAATAACATGAATTAAAACCAAAACAAACACTGAAAAGCGTTAAATAACACTTGAGTGAAGAAAATAGAAGAGAAAGAAAAATGACAAAGAAATAAATTCTGAAAGGAAACGTTCCCAAATGGAAAAATAGTGAATGAAGTCCAGAGAATGCATCCACAAAAAAGAAAAAGAAAGTGAAAATAAATTAATAAATAACCCATAAAAATATACCTCCTTGCAAACAGGAAATTACCATAAATTGCGGCGTACAGGACGACTTAACGTACAAGTCGACCTGCCGTACAGACCGACGCCCAAACACACGGCACCCTACCAGTGGTTCAAAACTTAGGCCTACCGGTAAATGAAGTATATTATAAATTCAATAAACTGCTATTGTGCGTCATTAAACTGTTATTACTCTCCTGACGGCCAGTATTTACACTTCTTAGTGTATCAGCGGTTGGACGCGATAGTTGCTGTGGAGTTAATAGAATACTGAGTTTGCATTTCTATTTTATTATTTTATATTTTATTATGCCTTAATATGCCAAATATGTTCACCAAATACGGGTTTTAGTGGGCTATGTTTGTGGCAGCCTGCTGGAGGTACGGTTAGTTGTGTACAGAGAGCCTTCCAACCTTCTTTACAACTCGGTGATGTTTGCATTTTATACATTTGCACTCCGCTATTTACTGTATTTATTGCTTCTTTGTGATTGAGGTGTGTGTTAATGAAAGAAAGAAACAGAGAAATGCAGGGTGAGAGAGGGGGGAAGAAGAAATATAATGGGAGAGAAAGTGTGTGCGATTTAGTGGTGTTGTTGATTGCGCATGTGTTGACATTCCTTACACGATACCTTATTTCGTAATAGTTGCAGGTCTTCACCATATTTTGTTATTAGCAAAAAAGAAAACATTTATCTTTTTCAAGTTCTTCCACCGATGAAATTAAATTACAGATTTAAGGATATGAATGTGTGCAGCGATTTGCAAACATTTGTGAAAGCATCTAGCTGGCCGAAAATAGGAAGGAAATATTTCTGAGAAACAAGCTGGCGACACCAAACAGTATCTATGTATAAAAGTTGTCATAGTAATAGCAATCCTGTTCATATATTGTTCGTATTAGTACTTCTACAAGTTTAACATGTAAGACCAATTTTACAACAGCTTGTTAAATCAATAATGATAATTTCCATTGATCTCCAGTAGTATTACTACTACTACTACTACTATTTTTATTAATAATATTCCTCATTCATTCAGAATGTGGCGGATCATGACTCTCCATAAATTCTGATACGTTTATAGAAAATGAGAACGGATTAAATATTCCATTTTAAAGTTACTTTACATACATGCATACATACATACATTTAGCGATTGTTCTCCAGAGTCACGTCGGTATGGCGTACCTGGCTAAGCGGTATCTATTCCTACCCTGAGGGATGTAGGTTCGATTCCTGCCGGGGAACGATTTTTTTCTTTCATAAGATTTCTGGAACATTCGATCCGGTGGGCGAAAACTAAATAAATATAATGTTTAATCAATAAACGGAACCCCTACACAAATACGAGTAGTCACTAAAAATAATGTGATTGATATATATACCGGATGTAGCAGAAATATTTTCAAAATCGTGTAACAGCATAATTATCAATCCCACAAAATGTTTAATATCTAATGGAGTTTCCTTTTTCCAGGTTTTCAGATAAGGCGTTTAGCAATCTTGACAACAATTGTCGTAAGAATCACTAAAAAAAACTCGTTATTCAGCTAAAAAAAAAGAAAAGTTGAAAATTTGTTTGTGTCAGACCCACTGCTTTCCCAAATGAGCAATGGTGAGAAGTAAAAGAACATTCAGACTTTCAATAATGGTATCACACTCATACTCTGGCTTCAATCTACTAATTCCATTCAAGTACCATGAAGAGAACGGTGAATAAGTTTAAAAAAGAGGGAGCAGTAGTTCGATCAGGATGTGACAAGAGTAAGTGGGATCATCATTTCAACTTAGCATTAAAGAGATCAATGAGAAAAGATCCAACTCAATTCATAAGATGATTGGCACATGAGAGAGGATTTTCAAACACGACAGTCCAAAGAGCAGCGAAAAAAAGACGTGAAAATGAAATTGTACGTAAAACCTGTGAACCTTACTAAAAAAACAGAAAGTTAGAAGATTAGAGAGGGTGAAGATCATATTGAATGAGTTGAAATGAACCATGAATATATATATATATATATATATATATATATATATATATATATATATATATATATATAATATTTGAACTTAATTTCAATCCTTCATAAATGTCGGATCCTTAGTTATGATTAATTAATGATGAACCATGTCATTTTCGTTTATGATAGACACATCACGATACTTTTCTTAAACTTAGAGAGTAATTGTACATTGTTATAGCTCAAAGTAGAGTCAAATAGAGTTATAAAAACCTCGGATGGTTCAGTAAGATAAATATATTCCTAATATATAGCGGTATAATCTAGCAACTGTAAATTTGCTTTTACACGATTTAGATAATTTTGCTGTTACATCCGATATAAATATTATATATATATATATATATATATATATATATATATATATATATATATATCAGATAGATAGGAGTCAAATGCAAAATATATAACACAACTCAATTAAAATTAAATAATATCATGCAAGCAAGCAAACAATATAAGTAAAGTAAATTCACAGGTGTGGAAAGCAAGAAGTTTTACAAATAATGAAATAGTGTCTACGCAGAAAAGCTAGGTTAGACAAGTGAACGCAATCACCATCCATATAGACAAGGTAGATCTGGATTGAGGTTATTTAGGTGTGGTACAAGGCCGTTTTTTCTGTGGGTCATTTCAGTAGTGACGAGTTTCGTAGCTATTTGGCTGACTTTCCTCGACTGAAGCGGCTAGCTGCGAGGGTAAGATTCGCATTGAAAATGATCTACAGTGGCAAATCTCCGGGACTTGTTGGTCTACCCTACGAATTTTACTTGAAGAACTCCAGGGGCGTGATCAAACTTTTGAAAAAGGGCAAGAGTGCTGAACCTGAATCATATGACTATAAGCCCATAACACAGAGTTAAAGATTTTGGCCAAGACCCTGACGGAGCGTTTGCAGTCAGTTGTCGCAAGCTTGCTGGGACCCGAGCAGACTTATGCTGTCAGGGGAAGAACAATTCAAAGAAACCTGCATCAATTCCGCACTATCACAGAGGGTTTAGAAGCCGCGCCGATCAGTTTAGATCAATCTAAGTCATTCGATATGGTCAACCATCGGTACCTGGCTGCTGTTCTCCAGGCCACCGGGTTCGAACATGACTTCAAAAAGTGTATCAGCCTCCTGTATCGCTCCCCCAGTGCTGTGGTACAGGTGAATGGGACGCGGTCGAGCCTATTTGCGCTGTCTCGGTCGGTTCGTCAGATTTGTCTGCTGTCGCCCTTACTTTATGCTTTGGCGTGGGAGCTCTTCCAACGCCGGCTAAGAGACAGGACGTGCAGTCCGGCATTACGTGGAATCGCTAGAGTATGATTCTGGCCCGATCTCCAGGCGTGTATATATATATATATATATTAAAGACGACAGAAAAGTTACTTCGATTAAGCTTGTAATTTTTCTTGTGTTCAAACAAGTATTTTCTCTTCTGGACAACTTATATTCCAGTTCGGTAATGGTGTTTTTTTGTGTTTTTTTATGTTTGTGGATCTCATTTAAATGTTGGATATCATTTTATTTTTCGTAAGACATGTTTTTTTTTCTTGTAATAGTGTTATTTTCCTTATTGGTGCTGGGTTGTGTAATTTTATAATTGCGTATTTAGGCAGCAATCCTTCATTTATACATGTTTCATTAAAGACAATATGCAAGGTACTCTGATTAGGCTATTTAATTTTTCGTGTGTTCGAAAAACTGAAAAATGTTTTCTTTTATACATATATATATATAACAAATGGGGTAAAATGTATGACGAAGTGGAAAATGTTTCGTGTGACATGTTTCGCCATCTTGGACTTCATTAGGACTAAATTTGGGGCACCAACAAATTTAGTCCGATGAACTCACAAAGGATGAAACGCATCACATGGAACTTTTTACACTTTGTTATACGTTTTCCAATATATATATATATATATATATATATATATATATATATATATATATATATATATATATGGTAAAAGCATAATTTGATGTTATAAGGTACGGTCTATTTATGTATACATTTTAGATTTGGTTATTGTTTTTACACAACAACTGAGTTACATGGAACCTTATAACCGCGTAAGAGTATCGGGTATCTTAAGTAAGTTATGACCTTGTGACGTACTAAAACTGTTTAATAAATAAACTCTTAGATCATTTGAATCGATATCATAAACTACTTACTGGACAGGTGTGAGCAACAGTGTTGAGCGACATGCGGATAATAAAGCAAATTAATAGATTAGGGCCACCTGCAGGTCTATCTTTTGTCATATCGTGTTGTGTAGCCATTTTGCATTCGTTGTTTTAATGTTTTCTCCCCAAACAAGACAGTAAGGCCCCGAAAACACAAGGTGTTACTGAGTGGGAAATAATAAGACAAAAATGAGAAACGTTATTAAAGAGTGAGAATAATAAAGGATATATATATATATATATATATATATATATATATATATATATATATATATTTATTTGGTCGGATTGATGTGAGTTTGTGACCCAATCCAACCACATATGTTAGCTATATCTCTGATATTGAGCGGTTTCTAATAAGCACCGCGCATATAATATATAAATGATAATATATATATATATATATATATATATATATATATATATATATATATATATATATATATATATATATATATATATATATATATATATACACTCAAAAAATTTTTTTTAAATTCTGCTTAATAAACGAAATGAACCCATCCCATGCTAGGTTGTAGGCATAGGAAAAAGTTTCTCTTAAAATATTTTTATTCTGGATAAAATTATCCAAATTTCGCTCTCATATACTATATTTTAGGTTGTATATTGATTACCCACCTTTAACCGTTTCAATGTATTTTATCACCCAAAGTTTCAACCAGAGTTTCTATTTTAAACTTTAAACTTGCTTTTACTTTTTTAAGTAAGTTTGACCCCCTACTTGCACCCTATTTTTTGTATTTATACCCCAATATTATATTTGACTTATTTTAAATTCGAGTTGTGAATCTGCGTGTAATTTAGCCTTCCTCCTATGAGACTCAGTATATTATTTTTTAAAATCATAAGTCAAATTTATATATATATATATACAATATATATATATATATATATATATATATATATATATATATATATATATGATAAAATATAGTTTTTAAGACATGCTATATGTATGTGTTACAGTGCTCAATTTCAGGAATAGAGTATAGGCAAATATAAAATTTCAGGAATAGAGTATATGCAAATATAAAATTGAACAGTTTGTTTCATACTAAACGCAATCATCAGGCCATATGCCTTGTGTTTTTTTTATATATATATATATATATATATATATATATATATATATATACAGGTAAGGGATTCGTTGTAGGTAGTCTATTGTAGTATTTAAACGGTTATTTTGTAGTCGGTAACGGTTATGTTTCGAAACGAATCGTGCACTATTTGCTAATTTTATATTCATCTCGTTCTGAGTTTAACTTAAAAATATTATATACCCCTAATCTCGAGACAGAGGATTACAGAATAAAGGGCAGTTTATGCACATAGGAGGGGAAAATAAAGGTTAATTCTAGGATTAAGATTTTAGTTATTGAGGAGACAACTTATTGGGAGTCTGTTGTACAGAGCAGTGGTCCGTGAAAAGAAGCTGCTA